TTAAAGTGCCAGACTGCAAAGACATTTGAACCACAAAGTTGGTGGTTCAAGCTCACCAGCTGCTCCTCAGAAACCCTATACAGGGTCGCTATGGGTCGGAACCAACTCGACAGCACTTCACAACAACAACAACATGTTTCAACACTCTGCTGTTCCCTGCAAAGGAGACTATGCAAACCCAGCTAGCAGCTCCACAGAAGAAAGACCTGGCAGTCTGTAGTCAGAATTAACACAAGAAGACCTATTTGCTCTTATAGGCAATGCTCTGGTTAAGAAAGCAGGTTCAAATCAACACTTCCTTGACTCAAAGCCCCATCCTCTCCTTACTAACTGGGTGACCTCGGGTCTGTCTTTTTCACCTCTAAGCCACCGTGTGATTGTCCAGGACACAGGACAGTAATAAAATACTTACTTCCTGGGTCTACTGGGAGGATTCCGTTTAAAGCACATTTGTGATTGCCCTGGGCTTACCAGAATAGCCCAGTCTACTCTCCAGCTTCCGTCCAGCTGATTAGTAGCCTCAATCTCACCTGAACTTTAATTCCCTTTCACCACGCAATTGAACCTATTCACCTTTCCTGGGATTGGATAAGGAGCCCTGGTGGCCTTGGGTCACTCACCAACATGTAAGCAGTTTGAACCCACCAGGCACTCTGTGAGAGCAGAAGGCAGGCTGTTTCTGTAAAGATTTATAGCTTGAAAAGTCTGTGGAGCAGCTGTGCTCTGTCTAATAGCACCCTAGAGAGTTACTAAGAGGCAGAAGCCACACAATGGCCATGCCTTTAGTTTTGGTGGTGAGATTAGAACGTGGACATCTTTGGGGATCATTATGTTGCCTGCCGCACCCCGCTTAAAATGCAATGGTTTTCCCTCACACTCAGTAAAATCCCATCCCTCACCAAGACTGATGAGGCTGTTTTGTGTGACATGATTTCAGCGCATTGCACCAACCTCTCTGAGCGCTTCTGATGCCACACCTGGCCTCTTAATATTAGCTGCAGTCATGGCTGGTGTCCCCTCTGCTTCTGGAACATCTAAATGTCAGTCCACCAGAGGACCTTTGTCCCTACCTGCAAGGCTCTTTCCTTGTCTTCATTCCTCTCACTGACCAAGTTTTACTTCAATCAGCTCCTCTTCAGCTGCGGTCCCTCTACCCTCATCCCCAGTCTCGACTGTCAAAAGCACCCTTCTGAGTTCACTGCCTAGAGTCATTTCATTTTATTTATTACTTGATTATTTCTTGTCTGACTCTCTGGAATATCATTGCTTTTTTTTGTTTTTTTTTTTTAATGCTGCTATGACCTAGTTTTAAGGCCCTGACCATAGACAGTCAGTTGTTACCCCTCTTGATCAGAAAATTAAGTCCACACCCCAACCACTTGCATTATGGGTACCATGTACCCACCTTAATTGCTCCAGGATTGTTGTTGTTATGTTGTTAAGTGCCATCGAGTCGGTTCCGACCCATAGCGACCCTGTACAGGGTTTCCGAGGGTGTAAATCTTTACGGGAGTAAGAAAGCCTCATCTTTCTCCCACGGAGCGGCTGGTAGTTTCGAACCACTGACCTTAAGGTTCGCAGCCCGATTCGTAACCACTACGCTACCAGAGCTCGCTGGTCCCTAATAACAGGGGACAACTTCTATGTCTCGAGCTCACAAAATGATTCCAATTAGCCAATCCACAAGAAGCTCACAAAACTTAGGCAACATTTTCTCACTTGCCACTCTTCAGCTCGAGTTTGCCGTTACGCTGTCCGGGAGCACAACCAGTGTGGTCTTCTCTAATTTGGAGTTCCATCAGACAGTTTTGCCTTTCATCTACTGAGTATAAAGGAGCCCGAGAATGCAATGGATAAGTGCTCCGCTGATAACTGAAAGACTGGAGATTAGAACCCACCCAGAGACTCCATGTAAAGAATGGTGGTGGTTATGTGCCATGGAATCAGTTCCGACTCACAGCGACCCTATACAGGGTTTCTGTGGCTGTAAATCTTTACAGGAGCAGAAAGCCTCATCTCTCTCCCATGGAACCACTGGTAGTTTCGAACTGCTGACCGTGAGATTAGCAGCCCAGCTCATAATCACTACACTACCAAAATCCCATGGGGTACCTGCAACCTGTCACATGGGGTCACTAAGAGTCAAAAATCAACCAGACAGCACCTAATAACACCAACAGTGTTTGAGGCAGGTCCACAAGACAGTGGGAACATCATTTAACCTCCAAAGAATCTATAGGGGTGGTGCTTATGTGCCATGGAGTCGGTTCCGACTCATAGCGACCCTGCATAGGGTTTCCGAGGCTGTAAATCTTTACGGGAGTAGCCTCATCTTTCTCTCATGGAACAGCTGGTAGTTTCAAACTGCTGACCCTGAGGTGAGCAGCCCGATTCATAACCACTACACTACCAAAGAACCTACAGCCATACTTAACATTTTATCATTATAAAATGCTCTCCTCTTGAGACCGTAAGTTCTGTGAGGACAGGGACCTTACTGTCATACTCTCTACAATAGCTCTAAGACCTATACATGCGTCAGCACAGAACAGATATTGAACACATCTTCCAATGGCAAGACTATCTTCAAGCCATGATGTTATTTGGGCCTTGCATGATGATCCCACTGATTTTTAGATAGTTTATGAATTGATGCTGTTGAAATTAGGTGGGAACTCTAAAATGTGAACCATTTCTAAGGCCCACAGCTGCTTGCTTCATCTCCACATTATTTCATTAACCATGTCCCGTGTTTGCTGCTCGCTGGCCTGGAGAGGGAATGTTTAACAATCAATGACGATGAAGGCAAGACAGAGTTATTTAAGGTCTCTAGCTCCTCTCTGAGTTGGAACAAATAAACATGTACAATAAGGATGTGCTTGTGTGGGCTGCAGGTACTTTGCTGAATTCCACTAAAAATTCAGACTCAATAAGTGAACCGTGCACACTTTTTAAAAAGTATATCCTTTCAAATGAAACTTGTAATATAACGTAAAAAAACACAAACACATATTAGTCATAGAGAGTAAATGTAAAATATGATGATATTAAAAAATGCATACCAAAAACTAACCTCATTTTGGTTTAGTATTTTCCGGTATTCTGTGCTCCGTGCAAGAATAGTGACTCGAATTTTTCCATCCTGCCATCAAAAAAAAGGCAAAATAATACTGTAAATACCAGGACAGAGGAGTGAATATCACAGGCTAAATACTGATTTTCACAATGAGATGAAACTCATTAAGGATACATTTATAGAAAGGCTGTTCAAAAACCAGATTCCTTCATGATTCTCTCAGAAAATAAAAATACATCCACTTTAGCCATAGAAGACACAACCTCTGTATTACGCTGCTTCTGATTGGCTGGATTGGTAAATTTTTTGACAAGGGTCACCTGAGGGGGGTAGGTATGACAAGAGAAGGGATAAAGGAAACAAACAAACCAAAAACAAAAATGCAAAATCTTCCAATATCCCTTAGCTTCTCTTTCATGGGTTGTTGACACCTGATTTCAGATCAGTTCAGGTTAGAAAACATTAACACAAGACAGGAAACAATGTTCTCTGTTTCTTTCTTTATCTGTTATTGATTTTTACTGGGGCTGAAAAGTCCTGCTCCCCTCAGAACCAATAATGCATTCATTACCTTGGGTCCTTCTTGTGTGATGTTCAGTCTGTATAACACATGCTGGGAAAAAGCCCTAAATAGTCCAGTATTTTGACAGCCCGATATCTAGAATCAAAGCAACAGGTCATAATAGAATCAGTACGTCTGCCTTGCTATTTAAGATGTTCTTGAGTTACATATAAATGTTATCCTAGACTCTGTCAAGAATAAATTCTATATATATGAACGTTTACAATAGACAAAATGCTTACCAGAGGGGTATTATAGAACAGCCCATATCTCATGCGGGGGAGTAGCGAAAATACAGCTTCTTTAAAACATACCTGAGAGTGAAGACATTTGACAAGATCAGAAAACACAATCTACACCTTTGGCACCTAAGTTACACTTTACAATGACAGAAAATGATCTTCAAGCAATCTCTATTTTGCATGAAGACATTTTGAACAGCAAGCCATTTCACTCAAGGGGAATGAAATTCCTATTTGGGGAGGAGCTCTGAAAGGGAGTTTTTAAATGTTACATGATTAATAGCCATGAGGACTCTAGTTGTAAAAAAGTAAACGAAGAAGCCAGAAATCAATAGCAATGGCTAATACCTACTCATATTAAATATTTATTTTATGAGTGAATCATCTGCACATGACAGCTTTTATAGATATTTCAGTAAAGTCTGCAATACCCTTTTGGAATCGTAAGTCTTCAAATGTACAACATCGTAATCAGTAAACGCTTTCCATGTGTCGGAGAACAGGTCACCATAGCCATAGGAACTCTGCAGATGAAAATAAATCAGAGAAGCGTAGTAGTAAAGGAGACAACTTGGCTTTTCAAAGATGCAACACATCGCCTGCCTGACTTAGTTGGTCAGTGTTAAGAATTAGTCATCCTAAATGAGCTCATAAAACCCACATTTAAAAAAATGGTTTTCTCTCTGATTTATCATCTGGGGTCTGATCAAGTGCCTAATCTGATAAAATATCATGAGAAATAATCATTACAATTAAAAGCCTGTCGTGTTGTTAGGGGTCCTCAAGACAGTTGTGACTCATAGTGGCCCTGTGTACAACAGAATGAAGTTCTGTCTTGTTCTGTGCCACCCTCATAAGAATTGCTATGTTTGAGCCCGTTGGAAAAGTCACTGTGTCAGTATGTCTCCTTGGGGGTCTTCCTATTTTGCATTGACCCTCCACTTCACCAAACATGGTGTCCCTTTCCAGGGACTAGTCCTTCCTGAATCAAACAACATATTGCATTAGGCAAACCTGCTGCACAAGACCTTTTGAAAGTGCTGAAGAGCAAAGATGTCAGCTTGAGGACTAAGGTGTGCCTGACCCAAGCCATGGTATTTTCAATAATCTCATATGCATGCGAAAGCTGGACAGTGAATAAGGAAGACCACAGAAGAATTGATGCATTTGAGTTGTGGTGTTCGAGGACAATATTGTAAGTGCCATGGGCTTCCAAAAGAACCAATAGATCTGTTTTGGAAGAAGTGCAGCCAGAGTGCTCCTTGGAGGCCAAGATGGCCAAACTTCGTCTCTCGTACTTTGGATAGATTGTCAGGAGGGACCAGTTGCTGGAGAAGGATGTCATGCTGGGTAAGGTGGAGGGTCAGAGAAAAAAAGGAAGACCCTCAATGAGAAGGATTGGCCAAGTGGCAGCATCGATGGACTCAAGTGTGGCAGCGGTAGTGAGGTTGGCCCAGGATTGGACATTGTTTCGTTCTGCTGTGCATGGGGTCGCTATGAGTCGGTTCCGACTCAACGGCACCTGACAACAACAACAACAACAACAACAACAACAACAAGTCCTTCCTGATAACATGTCCAAAGTATGAGACGTCAATCGTGTCATCTCCCTTCTAAGGAGCATCCTGGCTGGACTTCTTGGAACACACATCTGTTTATTGTGGTCATCCACACTATAGTCAGTATTCTTCACTACTACCATAATTCAAAGGACTCAGTTCTTCAGTTTTCCTTCTTCACTGTCCAGCCTTCAACACGCCGATGACACAACTGAAAATACTTTGGCTTGGGTCAGGTGCACCTTAGTTGTCAAAGTCACAACTTTGCTTTTTAACACTTTAAAGAATTCTCTTGCAGCAGATTTGCCCACTGCAATATGTCATGTGATTTCTTGCCTGCTGCCACCATGGGTATTTACAGATCCAAGTAAAATAAAATCCTTGAAAATTTCAAACTTTTCTCCAATTATGTTACATATTGGTTGTAAAGATTTTGTTTTATGTGGCATTGTAATCCATACTAAACGCTGTAGTGTTTAATTTTTATCCAAAAATGATCTTCATCCAAACAGGCTTCAAATTCTCTTTGCTTTCAGGAAGCAAGGTAGTGCCATCTGCATATCACAGGTTGTTAATGAGCCTTCCTCCAATCCTGATGCTAAACTCTTATTCAAATAGCCCAGCTTCTGGGATTATTTGCTCAGAATACAGACTGAATAAATATGGTAAAAGGATACAACCCTGATATCACACACAAGTAAAATTATGCTGAAGGGCATTCAAAACTAGTTGCAGCAGCAGTACATAGACAGGGAGCAGCCAGAAATTCAAGCTGGATTCACATGAATATGTAGACCTATGGAAACCATTATAGATGTCAGATGAATCTTGGTCAAAGGCAGAGTATACCAAAAAATGTTAACTTGTGCTTTATGGACTATCAAAAGGCATTTGACTCTGTAGATCATAACAAACTATGGACAACACTGCAAAGAATGAAAATTCTAGAACACGTAAGAATGCTCAAGAGAAACTTGTACACAGACCAAGGGGCATGTTCGAACAGAAGGGGACACTGAAAAGTTTAAAAATCAGGAAAAGTGTGAGCCAGTGTTATATCCTTTCTCCATACTTATTCAATCTGTATGCTGAGCAAATAATCTGAGAAGCTGGGTTCTATGAAGAACATGGCATCAGGACAGGAGGAAAACTCATTAACAACCTACGATATGCAGATGATACAACCATGCTTGATAAAAGTGAAGACTTAAAAATATTTACTGATGAAGATCAAAGACCACACACAGCCTTTGGTATGGGTTGCATCTCAAGGTAAAGAAAACAAAAATCCTCAGTACATTTATCACATCAGGATAAATGGACAAAAGATTGAAGTTGTCAAATACTCCATTTTGCTTTGATCTAAAATCAACCCTCATGGAAGCAACAATCAAGAAATCAAACAATGTACATATAGCATTAGTCAAAACTGCTGCAAAAAGACCTCTTTAATGTGTTAAAGAAAATGATGTTAGTTTGAAGACCTGGCACAAGCCATGGTATTTTCAAATCTCTCACACGCATACGAAGGTGGACAATGAAAAGGGAAAAACTTAGGAGAATTAATGCATTTGAGTTATGGTTTTGGAGAAGAATACTGAAAGTACCATGGACTGTCAGAAGAACAAACAAATCTGGCATTGATAAATTACAACCAGAATGCTTCCTGGAAGCGAGGAAGGTAAGACTTTGTCTTTTATATTTTAGATATGTTGTGAGAAGTGATCAGTCCCTAAAAAAGGACATCATGCTTGGTAAAGTAGAGAGTCCGCAAAAAAGAGGAAAACCTCTAATGAGGTGGACTGGCATATCTAGAGCAGGGTCAGTCAGTGTTTCAGTCTATTGTACTCAGAGTTACTGTGAGTTGGAGCCAACTGGAAGGCACGTAACAGCAACAACAGCCTCATTCAACCTGTGATATGCTTGGGGTCTAAATAGCAGACCAATCTGGCAGAAGTGTCTGTGTAGAAACTTTGGGCAAGTTCCTAGCAAAGTTCTCCCTGACCAAGATTCAAGTTTCAAAAGGATGAGGCGAAATGAGTAGTAGAGAAAGATAACATCAGGATGCCATCCTTATCGACTAAGTCTACCTGCCCATAGATGGAAGGTCCGAATGATGGTCAGGCTGCCCTGGCATCACAAAGCCAATATCTGAGTAGGCAAGGATCCTCAGGGTGGCCATTGGCATCCTATTATTTCATCCCAGTGGGCACAGAGAAGGGCTGGGTTGTTGAAGCAGGCTCCATCTAACTTAGACAAGTTGAGGAAGACATGGAAAAGTTAACAACAAGGTACAGAGAAGCTTCAATGTATCTGAAGACACTCTGTCCACAGGTTCTGCAGAGGTTTTTACAGAAGCCAATCACCAGGTCTTTCTTCCATGGTCCCAGGAGATGGGTTTGAACTGACGATGTTTAAAGGAGTAGTCAAGCACAAACCACTGTGCCACCCATATAATTCAACATATGTCTTTATGGCCACAATCAAAACACACAAGTTGGCATGAAGCATGTACCAGCTCTGGGTGTGCTGGAGCCAACGCTAAGGATGATACCTTCCTTGTGTGGTGTCAGAATAGAAGCGTGCTCCACAGGACTTTCAATGGATGAATTTCTAGCAGACCACCACCAGGTCTTTCCTTTGAAGTAGACTCAAACTGCCAACATGTCAGCTAGCATGTTACCTGTTTGTCCCCTAGAAGTTTATAAGGTGACAACAAAGCCCTGTCCTTTCATACCACCTGGACTCCCCCCTCTCACAGAGCCTCAACTTCCTGGCTGTAAAATAAGTTAATAAAACTGCTAATCCATAGAGACTTGTGGGCATTCAATGAGATCACACCAAGTATAATTTTAAAAAAAGAAAAAGGTAAAAACACCCCTGAATTTGTCATTCCATGCTTCTGAGAGTTGGTGGTGGTGACCTAGATGTACCTACACAAAAAGAAGAGAAACACTGCTGTTCCCTTGTCTCATAGAAACAGTTCCAAGAATCAAACTTTGTCAGCAAAACTGGAACTGAAGAGGGAAATGTAAATACACACAAAGAAGGAAGTCCAATGAAAGCAAAGACGCCAAGAATTATAGGACTCGCTTTCGTCAGACTTCAAATGAAACGCAAGGTCTCTGGACCAAGGGTAATGAAAATCTTTCGGCATAGCTCTTCCGAGAGCCCCAGATCTGTGAAAAAAGCGTTAACAGAACCATTTCTGCAGAAAGATCTGACCTTCCGCTAACTATCTCAAGAAATAAAGACAGCATGTGTTAAGCAGGTATCAAGGCAGCATTGCTTAGGATTTAAAGACGCTGGCTATGTAAATTACATGGGGACTGGGAAATACCCTGTTTGGGTTTCACTGTGGGCTTCACTGTGTGTCAGCCACTCTGTGGGACACAGATGAGATTGTCTGCTCACGTCAAGATGTGCAGCCCGGGAAACCCTGTACAGGGTTGCTATAAGTTGGAATCCACTCAATGGTAAAGAGTGTGCTTTATTCCTGTTACTAGGTGTGTCTCTTGCAAAGATCCTGGGAGTTCTGCCAACGGAGTTATTCCAGGAGACAGCGGCCCCAGAGGAATATGGGGCTCTGTAGACAAAGCAGCTTCTGTATCTATCCAAGTGAATCCCATCTCCTTGTATCTGAGCTGACCTGTGCTTGGTGGGCTGCTGGAAAGACTGCCACCCCACCCCCCCCAAAGAAATGTCCACTGGTGCCCTCCTGCTGCCAAGCTGTGGTTCCCTTTTCATTCTGAAAAGACTCACACTGAGGTGGGGCCTCTTAGTCTCTTGTATGAGTCAGAATGTTTAACTAAGCCTTAGATGACCTTTTGGTGACTATTCCAACTTCCCAGTGTTAAAGCAACTTCTCTGGTGTACACTTGGAACCAGTGTACACTGGTTCTAATCACCATCCTTGTCATTATTTAGAGTGTACTTACTGTTCACAAGGTTAATCTTGAAAATGGCACTGAGGTTGATACTGTAAGTCTCCTATTTCAGAGATGAAGATACTGAATCACAACCTGGGGTTACTTCGGGACAGAGGGGACAAGATATAGAAATAAGAAGGGAAAAGTAAGCGAGGAGGAAAAAGACTATGAAGACGAGTAGAAGGAGAACAAGGACCAAAGATAGCACTCAAAACAAAGACGCTATTAAAAAGAAAAAGACATGCTGTGTGAGTCAATTTCTACTCATGGCAACCATGGCGTTACAGAGAAAAACTATTCAGTAGGGATTTCTTGGCTATAATGTTTATGTGAGCTGACGACCAGGTCTCCCATGGTACTGCTGGGTGAGTTACAACTGCCAAGCTTTAGTTGATGTTAAGCGCCATCAAGTCGATTCCGACCCACAGTGACCCTGTACAGGGTTTCCTAGGAGCAGCTGGTGAGTTTGAACCGCCGACCTTGCAGTTCAAACAGCTTTGCAGTCTGGCGCATGAACCCCCAGCACCACACCAGGACTCCTTAGGTTAGTAGTTGAATAGAAATACATGCATTTACATACCAACTTAAGACATGCCCTGTATCATGAGCTCGAACTCACAGCACAATTTGGCCTGAAGTAGGTAAATAGCAACAGGAAAGTTGTTGCTGAGCAAAGGCAGACAAGGTAAAGCAAGAGACCAAACAGGAAGAGAGACAGGCAAGCTCTTCAAACAAAGAGGTAAGTGAATAACAGTTTCCACAGGGGAAACCCTGTACAGGGTCGCTATGGGTCGGAACCGACTCGACGGCACTTAACAACAACAACAACCTCAGGTGAACATTGAGCATAGTGGTCTTAGGAACTCTACCTTCCCAAAGGAGAAAAGAAATCTCCCACTGCATCATTCTAACATCTGTAGAACAAAGGTGCACACATACATGCCCCCACAAACATGTATGTGTACATGTAAATACACATCTATACGACTTGCATGTGTGTGTGTGTATATCCTTAAATGTGCCTGCCTTAAATTTTCTGTTCTATCACATTCCCATCACACATTTATAGACCAAGGCAAAGGCAGCATGGAAGCAGTAAGCACATTCTTACTTACTGTGTCCCACATCACGATGTACACGTCTGTACTGAATGAGTTGTTAACATGCTGAGTAATATAAAGATTCAGAAAGTCACAGAAGTGGTGATACATGTTTACACCTAGTGTTGGGGGAAGAAAATCAATCACATTAATAAACCCAAAACCGCAAACAACTAAGACATTTTTTCTTAACATCATCTATTTATAGTTTGATAGATATTTTTTAGGTGAAATAAATGGACAAAGAATAGTTCATCCAAATACAGTAAGCTCTCAGCAGAGGTTGTCCTCAATTTACAGATTGTTCAGGCTCAAAGGGTCACTTTAAAATTTAAGTTAGAAATTAAGAATGAATTATCTCATATAAGTTAAGTGCAAATGATCGCTAAGTTTCTAGAAAAGAAAACAACATAAGTCTATTAACTCAAGATAGGGTAAAACTTTAAGACCATGAAGATTAGTCATTATTTTTTACTATATTAGTTTTTAAAAATCAATAAAGCAACATCTGTTTATTGTAGAAGTATTTAAAAAAATAAAAATAAAAGACAATGGTGGCAACTAATAACATTTTGGCATTTAGAATTCCTGTCTTTTTTTTGCCTATTTAATCAGTGTTTACAGCATGGATTCTTGGGAAAACGTTAACCAGCTATCATTTAAAGCAGCTGAGTGGGTTATCCTCTAACTGAAAGACTATGGACTCTGGGGTCAGAAGAAACACAGTGAGTTCCAGCTCAACCATTCATGAAAAACAGGTTTGCTAAAGTCCCTCCATTCAGCTTCTCTACTAGAAACAGAAAATAGTTACACCTAACTGCCAGCTTCATGTAACAATTCCAGTTATAATGTGTTGAAAAGTTCCCAGCCCAATGCCTAGTATATTGCAGATCTTTAATGAAGACCAGCTAGATCTCCCAAGGTCAAATACACTAGAGTAAACTGTAGTTCATACGACTGCACATAAATGTGTCTTTGAAAAGAAAGAAAATATGTTTTCTCGCAACTTATGGATCCAGTCACCTAGTATTCAACCTGGAAATGTGCATATCTAAATGCAGAGTGCGGTGGCTCCACACGCTAAGCGCTGGATTGCAAACTCCATTTGCCGCTCCGCAGAAGAAAGATGAGGCTTTCTGTTCCCTCAAAGATTTAAAGCCTCAGACCCCCTGTACAGCGTTGTCATGAGTCAGACCCGAGTCCTCGGCACTTAAAAACTGAATATGGGGCAAGGAGTCCCTGGTGGTGCACATGGGTAATTCGCTTAGCTGCTAACAACAAGATGGAAGTTTGAGTCTACACAGAAGTTCCTAAGAAGAAACGCCTGGTGATCCACTCCCTCCCAAAAAATAACAAACATAAAAATCCAGCCATGGAGAACCCTACAGAGCACTGTTCTATTTTGACACTGATGGGATCTCCATGAACGAACTTAGGTAAATCCACAACTGCTGGAAACGGGCTGTAATTCTGAGGACTGATATTTAAATATTTAAATCAGAGTTATTTTAAAAGATACAAATGTTGATTCAAAGAAAAACAGTGACGCTCAGAAGCAGAAATCACACTATCAATTGACACTGTCTCACTGTGAATAAACACTGTGCACCAGAAAATACAAGTAAAAAAATACTCAGTTCTTTTTAGACTGGTATTTTTGATGAAGATTTCCATCGGTTCCATTCCGCACACAGAAAAATGCTGGCCAAGGTTATGTTTTCAAATAAACAAGAAAAAAGAAAGGTCTAGTACAACACATCTCTGTTTCCTAGATTAGCCACACAGCACACATTAGGTTTGTTACATGTTGTTCAGTGAATGCATTATCTCTACCGAGGCACGAAGGACACATAAAATAGTGCTTTGTGCTACAGGGATTCATAAGCAAGAGAGAAAACACAGGCTCCAACACCAAGAAATGAGTCTCCTCACTCATTCTACCAAGGTAAGAGTTAATATGAAAAGGAAAATTGAACGACAATCTAAATTAGAAGAAAAAAAGTAAGAGTTATGAATAGCGCATGTCCACACAAACCTTTTATTCCTTCCTACTTTGCATAATTTCTCCATAAGTATCTACATAAATTTAACAGCTCACGTGTATTGAAGGCAGATCAGTGTTTTCTTTGTCTCCTTTAAAATTTGCATATTTAAGAAATGAGTCAGGACCTCTTAAATAGCATTCTTACTTTCTCTTTATTTCACAAACCTAAACTTGTCTGATTTCTGTTCCTAATACTTTGTAACATAAGAATTATGACTTCAGAAGGCAGAGCACATTAAAAATATGATCAATAAATTATAGCCATTCTGAAATCCTCATGACAGAGCACACTATAATTCACCGTAAATCCAGCCTCTCATGAATTTTGATACGAGGTAGCATAGTCATTTCTGTCTCTGCTAATGAGAGAAAAAATGTAGTAAGATCTGTGTTTCTCCTTTCCAGGGAACTACTTCACAAAGTATTATCTATGCCTGCAATGTACAAGCTATGGACATATACAGAACATTTGGGGCTGAGGAGGTTAACTTTTTTGTCAAGAAGATTCAGCATTCACCATCGAATCCTTCACTATTCCAAGTTGAGGCTTGAATTTTTTCTTCTGTTCTTTCAGCTTGAGAAATGCTAAGCGTGTTCTTCCTTTTTGATTTTCTAACTCCAGGTGTTTTTTTCCACATTTCATTATAATACTGGACTCTGTCTTTTCGAGTTTCCTTTTGAAATTTTCTGTTCATCCTTTTACCTCCTCATCAAGAAATCAAACAACATATATTGTATTAAGCAAATCTACTGCAAAGACCTCTTAAAAGTGTTAGAGAGCAAAGAGATCACAAGACAAAAGTGTAACTGACTCCATGGTGTTTTTCATGTTTTTCTCAACAAAGATAGAGATATTCCCATAAATCCTAGTAAGTCCCAGTCATCCTGATGGTATGACTACAGAGGTCAGTATGGATCATAAGCACTGATTTTCCTAGAGCATAACTGTCCAGATGAACTTTCTGTGATGATAGAAATGTTCTATTCTGCACTGTCCACAAGGAATCCCTAGTCCGGTGAGGCTACTGGGCACTCGCAATGTGATTGGGCAACTGAAATGTTATTTAAAATTGAAATCTAAATTGCCATAGATGACTACTACCATACTTGATAACAATGCAGCCTGAAAGCATTCCTGACGATTGTTATGGGATCGACATTCAAACCAAGTTGGATAAGTCTAGAACGTGCAGAGGCAAAAATAACATCGGTGCCTCTCATTTCTTTTCCTTTTAAATGACTTTTTTTTTAAGTTTTTATTGTGAACTGAGTGAGAGTTTACATAGAACATCGGCTTTCCACCATCGTTTCAATGCAATGATTACAATCTCCTTTGTGCATCATCAAATGACTTTTTAAAAGAATTTCCTATGAGTAGTTCATCAACTATTCAAGAATAAGCATTATTAGTGGTGATTACTGACTTCTACTAGTTCTAATGAAATAACTTTTAAATGTGGCATATTCAAAAGTTTTCAATTGCAAAACTGAGTACGTTTCTTGCTTTTAAGTAGGTAAACGTCCTTATAATTCATGTATTTGAGTACTAACACTGTTATTATGCAAAGTGATAACTGTCAAAGCATCATGTCATTAGAATTAAGAAGACTTCTCTGAAGAAATATTTAGATTGCATCAACTAAGCTTTGGCAAGGAAACGTTTGCTGTATGTATTAATCACCGCAGTGCCTGACACTACCAGGGCAGATGAAGTATCTGTTAACTCTCTCACAAGGTTACTTGGAGCTAAGGTCTTATCTGCCACACAGCTACTACAGAAGGGGATTTCAGGATGATCACACTGGGTGCTGGGTTATTTATTAGGTCAGGCATCTTCATGCTCCTTGAGGAAAGGACCATTCCAACGTGGCAAAGCTAAACTCTGACAGAAGACTTGTTCCCCCAAAGGTCTTCCATTCCTTCAGTTGCCCATTCAAAGTATTTTCACGGATCCCCTCTGATGTGCTAAGCACTGTGTTCTGAGTTGGAGTCATACAGAAAAATTCAAATACTGTTACTTGTCTCAGGAAGGAGCTCTGGTAGCATACTGGTTATGAATATAACCTCAGGGTCAGCAGTTTGAAACCTCCAGAAGAAAGATGAGGCTTTCTGCTCCCGTTAAAGATTGACAGCCTCGGAAACTCTATACAGGGTCACTATGGGTTGGAACCGACTCCACGGCACACTACCACCACCATCATTTGTCTTGGGGAAAGTAACAGTCTGATGGGGAAAATAAATAATCAGCTAAAAATTGAAAAAAATAACAGTAATACACAGCAGTACTAACTTCCAGGAGATTCTGACTTTGCCTAAAGACATGGGCACTACAGAATAAATTTTGCCAGAGAGACCATGGTACTCCTTTCCTACCCACAGTAGGCCAACCAAACCCAAACCCACTGCGGTTGACTCAATTTCCACTCATAGCAACCCCACAAAACAGAGAACTGCTCCCCACGGTTTCCAAGGCTGTTTGAATCTAAACTTGCGGTCAGCGGCCCACCATTTAACCCACCAAGTCACTAGGGCACCTTCTCATGGAATACATGTGGGTTCTAACTTCAAAAAATGTCTAGTGAAGCTATTTATATTAAGTAATTCAAGAAACCCTAAGGTGTGAATTTTGTTACAAAAGGTGTTTGTATAATAACTTCTTCTCTCATGTTTGATTTTACTTAAGTGGTTTTCTATAAATATGCTAATTTGTCTGATACCTAAGAAACAAAACAATGGGAAACTCAAACTAGTTCATTTATTTCTCAGAATAAAACAAAAAACGTCATACTAGTCCCAAAAAGGTTAAATGCTGTCAAGTCAGTTCCGACCCATAGCAACCCTGCATAGGGTTTCCAAGGAACAGCTGGTGAGTTTGAACTGTTGACCTTCAGGTTCAAACCGATTTTGCAGTCCAGCACATTAGCTCACAGCACGACACCAGGATATCAATACATACAATATTTCTAAAAGGACAGGTTGAATAACATGATGAACATAATTAATGTTACTTAACTGTATATATGAAAAACAATAAGATGTCAAACATTTTGTTATGCATATATTTACCACACAAAGTCTTACCAATAATAAGTAACAAATTGATATCTCACCTGCATCAAATTTCATGAAATAGGTGGGCTTCTCAATAACAATGTCACATTTTCCATCCTCTATAGGTCTGAAGTTAAGCTGAGTATAGCTTTGTAGCTCAGCAAACCTAGAAATATGAATTGACATATGCTTTCAAAGTGATTCTCCCAAACTTCCTATTTCAACATTGTAAGTTAGGATGTACTTATTAGGAAGACTTTGTTTCCAGCATGCATGACAGTCCTACGAAGACACCTATAATTTCTCAAATTTATTGACAATTCTATAACTTGATATTTTAATGGTGAGATCAGAAACAAAAATAATTTAAAATTCAGCCTAACATGCAAGATAATCAAGCTGGGAACTTTCTAGGCAAAGAAGAATTTACACAGTGAGTTAGTCAAACAATCTACTAGCAAAATGGGATAGCCCAGTTAAGCACTAAACTGCTAACCAAAAGGTGGGAGGTTTGAATCTATCCAGAGGCACCTCAGAAGAAAGGCTTGGCAATCCATTTCCAAGTGATCAATCACTGAACACCCTGTGGAGCCGAGTTCTACTGTGACCCACAGAGTTAGCATGAGTTGAAATTAACTTCACAGCAATTGGTACAGAGAAAAGATTCAAAAAGGTTTTCTTTAATCTGACAAGGCTCAGAGGGAAACCGCTGATGGGGACAAAGATGGCTGTTCAACAGTCATCTAGAGCTTGAGAAACACAGCAAACAGCTAAGCTTCACAAGGAGAAAAGAAAATCAATTTCTCAGAAAACATCTTTAGAAGCCACATGATACCATTTTCTTCCCTATAAAAGAAGACAGGCACAAAACATGTGTTACAGGTTGAAAACTGTGTCTCTCCAAAATACGTATTGTAAATCTTAAGCCTACACTTGTGGATGGAGTCCTAGTGTGGCACTATAGGATAAGCACTCAAACACAAGGTCGCTATGAACTGCACGATCAGTGGTTCAAACTCACCAACTGCTCCTCAGAAACCTTATCTACAGATCACTATGAGTCGGAATTGACTCACCAGGTACTCACCACCACCACCTCTTGTGGTTATAATGCCATTTGGAATAGGGTTAGCTAATGAGGTAATGTTAGTGTAGGGTGTGCCTTTAACCAACCTCTCTCTCTCTCTCTCTTTTTTTTTTTTTGGTTTAATAAAGTTTTATTTTTCCCTTGTTTGGTTGGACCTGTTCATGCATCTTCATCAGCAGCTGGGGCACCCCACCCTTTGTGGTTTTGGTGTAAATTACTTGAACTCTGTGTTTTGAAACCAGCTTGGTAAGTCCTTTACTAAACAGTTGCTGAAGGTCTGCCCTGGCCAGGAAACTGTGAATCTTCAGTCTCTCAGAGAAAACAGCTAGTGTTCTAAGTTTATAGTTGGGAACTTCCTTACAGAGCTTGTCATACGTGGCTTTGTCAAACAAGACAAGGTTATTGAGCTTCTCCTGGACTTTCCCTTTGGACACTTCTTTGTAGGCTTGTCCCCAGATTTATTCACTGGCCTTTTGTCTTTCTTGACCAACTTTCCAGCATCTTCCTTTTTCTTGTCATCTTTGGGCGGCATCATGAAGCTCGGAGAGCAGCTACAGCTGCAGCCTAGCTAAGATGTCACACAAAAAGCCAATCTCTTTTGAGATATAAAAGAGCAGATGGAACAAGAGAGCCACCAAGCAAGGATGGAGAAGGCAAATGCCATGCCACATGACAATCATCAAGAAGCTAAGGAAGAAAAGCTGAAAACAAACAAGGACCTTCCCCCAGAGAGAGCCTTTTCCTAGAAACAGCAGCCCCCCGAAGTGTGAGAAAATACATTTCTGTTCATTGAAACCAGCCATCTGTGATCTTTTTATCATAGCAGCACTATATAACTGAGACAACATTGTACCAAAAGACAGTGAGAATTAGTATAAAGATCCTTGTAACTCTTCATCCTGGAGATCATATCTGATACAAAGCAATCAAATATATACTTTCAAAACACAATGCTGAAATATTGTTGTTGTTGTTAAGTGCCATCGAGTCAATTCTGACCCATAGTGACCCTGTATAGGGTTTCCAAGAAGCAGCTGATGAGCTTGAACCGCCAACCTTACAGCTCAAACAGCTGTGCAGTCTGGTACATTAACCCACAGTGCCACACCAGGACTCTGAAATATTAGGGTAATTGAAAAAAATATATCCACAAATAATGTGCTTAATTTCCCTCCCCTTGAATGTCAGCTGGGTTTAGTGATTTGCCTCTGAAGAACAGAATATGGCAGAGTTAGGTGACAGATAGGATGAAGCTTACATCTGGGGCATGTTCTCTCTCTCTTAGATCACACGTACTTGAGAACTCAGTCACGATGTTGTGAGGAGGATTAGGTTGAAAGAACTGAAGCCTTTGCCCAATGGCAGAAAGGAGTTGAGGCTGACAGCAATATGAGAAAGCTTCAAAGCAGACGCTCCAGCTCCAGTTGAGCCTGGAGAAGTCTGTAGCCAAAAGCATGGCAGCAACTTTGCAAGAGACCCTGAGTCAGTACCACAAAGTTACGTTGCTCCCACACACATCCTGACCATCAGAAACTGCCTGAAATAAAATAAACGCATGCTGCTTTCAGTTGCTAAATTATGGAGTCATTTACTGTGCAGTAATAGGTCACTTGGAGCCCTGGTGTGGTGCTGCAGGATAAGGCACTGGACCGCAAGGTTGGTGGTTCAAACCCACCAGCCGCTCCTTAGAAACCCTGTACAGAATTACTATGAGTCGGAACCGATTCGATGGCACTTAACGACAATAGGTAACTAACACGAATATGTTGTTGCTTGTCAATTCATTTCATTGAAGGTCTCCCTCTTTTTCACTACCCTCCACTGTACCAAGCATAGTGACCTTCTCCAGAAACACTAGTCCCTCTGACAACATGTCCAAAGGATGTGAGATGAAGTCTTGCCATCTGTGTTTCTAAACAGCACTCTGGCTGTACTTTTTTCTACACACATTGGTTTGTTCTGGTGCATTTGTCCACGGTGTATTCAATATTCTTTGACAACACCGTAATTCAAAGGCATCAATTCTTCTCCAGTCTTCCTTATTCATTGTCCAGCTTTCACATAACTATGACACCACTGACAAAAATATAGCTTGGGTCAGGTGTATATTAGTGCTTAAAATGACACTTCAGCTTTCCAATACTTTATATAGTAGGGATGACCACGTAGATCAAGAAATCAAAAGGTACCTGGAACTAAAATGGCCCACTTGAACGCAGGCAAGACTTACCACAAAAGCAAGTTATGTCAAATTAGATAATGCACCTCACACTGTAAAGTTCTATACTGTTGTTGTTGTTAAGTGCCATCAAGTCGGTTCCAACTCATCGGGAACCTATATAGGGTTTCTGAGGAGTGACTGGTGAGCTTGAATCGCTGACCTTGCAGTCCAGCTCATTAACCTCACAGTACCACACCAGGACTCACTACTAGCATATGGTAATACATCTGTAGATTACTGTCCTGAATGGTTTGCTTAGCACAAATGTTCTTGTTGCTTTCAAGTGCGTCTGAGTTAGGTCCAAGTCATAATATCCCTCTCCAGGGTTTCCAAAGAGTGATTGGTGGGTTTGAACCACTAACTTTGTGGTTAGCAGTCCAGTGCTTAGCGCCAGATCATGAATATTCAACCTAAAAAAAGAGCATAATGTAAGAGTACTCTAGGTGACTTTCAAGAGGCAGCAAGAGGGATACAATCTGTATTCTGACTGTAGTGGTGGTTACAGGCATATGATGGTGTTGTTAAGTGTTCTCAAGTAGGTCCTGACTTCTAGCGACCCTGTATAGAGTTTCCAAGGAGCAGTTGATGGGTTTGAACCAATAACCTTGTTGCTAACAGTCCAGTGCTTATCCTACAGTACTGCACCAAGACTCCTTCAGGCATCTTGTTAGGTGCCATCAAGTCAGTATCAACGCATAGCAACCGTATGCACAACAGAACGAAACAATGCGCGATCCTGGGCCAACCTCACTATTATTGCCACACTTGAGCCCATTGATGCTGCCACTTGGCCAATCCATCTCACTGGGGGTCTTCCTCTTTCTCTCTGACCCTCCACCTTACCAAACATGATATCCTTCTCCAGTGACTGGTCCCTCCAGACCATATGTCCGAAGTATGAGAGATGAAGTTTGGCCATCCTGGTCTCCAAGGAGCACTCTGGCTGCACTTATTCCAACACAAACAGATCTGTTGGTTCTTTTGGTAGCCCATGGCACTTTCAATATTCTCCTCCAACATCATAACTCAAAAGCATCAATTATTTTATGGTCTTCCGTATTCACAGGCATGTAGCCAGTGATAAAAGTTTCATGTAACCTTTAATAACTGTTGGTTGTTGTTTTTGCACAATTATGGGGTTTATTAGGGAAGTGAACAGGGTACAATTCTGGATTAAAATCAACTCAGAATTCAGCAATTCTCCAGCCAGGAAAGCCTCTTGTCTGCCAAACTGCAGACATGCCGCACTCTTGTCTTTGACCTCTCAGCCAAGTGGTCTCTTGGCCTCTGCCCAACTCAGGTAAGTGTTAAAAAGTTCTTTTAGCCTGTTTGTGAATGCCCAAAGGGCACAAAATAACTGTTAAAATCTGACTGTACATAATACAAGTGAAATCAAAATTAGTTTTGTAAAAATAATGAACCTAAGCCAGTTTTCTGATTTGATTACTGTACTACGATTATGTAAGATAAGGGCTAAGGGATGGGCACCTTTTAAAAACCTTATGTGAGTCTAAAATTATTTTTAAATAAAAAGTTAAAAAGAAAAGTATCCTAATTCCTTTGTTCTGGCAATGATAAATTTCTCGATATACCATACAATTTGTTTAATATTAAAAATCTTTTCAATAAGAATGTGGCTTTCAATTTACATAGAATTCAAAAAGCTGATCAACGTGTTAACAGGTAGCATTGGCCTTTGGGGACAAGGAGGGAGAGGTGCTGGAAATGGGCCCAGAGTGCTGATGATGGTCTGCCTTTTGAGCCAAGTTATGGAATCCTGGTCTGGCACCATAGGATAGCTACTGAACTGCTAACCTCAAAGGAGGTGGTTCAAACCTATCAGCTGCTCCTCAGAAACCGTATACAGGGTCATCGTGAGTCACAATCAAACTGACAGCACTTAATATCAGTTATATTGGTAAGTTCTCTTTTTCATAATTCAAACTGCACACGTTGCTGTATGTTTGCTATATACACCAGTAAATGTACCTTTACAAAAAAAAAGTATTCCCCAAATATATGTAACAATCACAAGGAGTCAAAAATTCATTTTAAACTGATTTTTCTTCTTTCATTAGCAAACAGTACCATATTTTGATGTTGTTGATTACTGATTATTGATAACTGTCGTCAAGTTGATTCCAAATCATAGTGGCCTGGCGGTTAGCAGTCCAGTGAAGATTTTACAGTGCCAAACCAGAATTCCATAGCTTACTGCTAATATTTTGTGGTGGTGGTTATGTGCCATGGAGTCAGTTCCGACTCATAGTGATCCTATACAGGATTTCTGAGGCTGTATATCTTAACAGGAGCAGAAAGCCTCATCTTTCTCCCGCAGAACAGCTGGTAGTTTCGAACTGCTGACTTTGCGGTTCACAACCCAATTAGTAACCACTATGCTACCAACTCGATGGCACTTAACAACAACAACAATGCTACCAAAGCTCCTTAAGTATAGCTTAAATCAGATATCACTAAGGAAGTCCAACTGCGACATTCATTCTCCAGAAGTGCAGAGCAAATCATCTACAAATTAAGTAAAACATTTTCCATGTGACAGTCCTTATCAAAATTTCAGAGTCCTAAAAATCAAGGCAAACAATTTAGAAACATATGTTAAACAAAAATAAAATCTTACCAAGACTGCAAAGGACTTTTACGCTGACCTTCAGACATCAATGTATGAACATCAAGTTTACAGTGCCCTCCAATTTCACCACTCTGGAAGAAATCTTCCTTAAACCTAGTTTATAATAAGAAGTTAAATTCAGAAAACGTTTTGATGACTCAGGCTTATGGATTGTAACTAATGTGATGTAGTGAATTACTTCACATGGCTTTTCTAGCCATAACAGATTCTAGCCTGTTAGCTGTTCAAAGTCACTAGCCATCCCTTGGAAGCCCTATGCAGGGTTGTGATGAATCATAACTAACCAGACGGCACTAAACAACAACAA